TGCCCTATCCACACAGTAAAACCAAATCCAATAACTTCTTTGACTTAATCCATATTGACATCTGGGGACCTCTATCTGTCTCATCTATTGAAGGTCATCATTACTTCCTCACAGTAGTTGATGACTTCACTAGATTCACCTGGACCCATCTTTTCAAAAATAAATCTGAAGTAAGATCCATCTTACAGACCTTCATTCTAAGCATTGAAAATCAATTTGATACTAAACTAAAGAAAATCAGGTCTGATAATGGCAAAGAATTTCTCTTAACAGAATTTTATAACAGCAAGGGCATTGTTCATGAAACCTCTTGTGTTGAGTGTCCTCAACAAAATTCTATTGTTGAAAGGAAACATCAACACATCTTAAATGTCACTAGAGCGCTTCTTTTTCAAGCCAAACTTCCCAAAACTTTCTGGTCCTTTGCTGTTAAATATGCCATTCACATCATAAACAGAATTCCATCTCCAGTTCTAGATCAGAAATCTCCTTTTGAGCTAGTCTATCATATTAAACCAGATCTGAGAGACTTAAAAGTCTTTGGATGTCTTGCTTTTGCCACCAGTCTCACTGCTAATAGATCCAAATTGGATACTAGAGCTCACAAATGTATATTCCTAGGTTTTAAAAGCAATACCAAAGGATTTCTCTTATACAATCTTCATTCATGTAGCCTAATTATCTCCAGAAATGTTCTCCTTTATGAGACTCAATTCCCATTTAAATCTTCCATTTCATCTACTGATTATTCTGATCTAGATGACCATAATCTTTATGAGTCTACTTCTGTATCTACACCACTCCCTGCAGTCCCATTACCAGTTCATAACACTACTTCAGAGAAAAGAATTAAGAAAACCCCTGGATACCTTGATGCTTATTACTGTGGCAATACCTCTACTTTCTCAACTCCATATCCCTTGGAAAATTATGTCAATCTTTCACACTGTTCTTCCACTTTTTCTTCTTACTGTAATTCTCTTTCTCTTCATTCTGAACCATCTTCTTTTAAACAAGCTAATAAATATGACTGTTGGAGAATAGCAATGCTTAATGAAATTAATGCTCTTGAAAACAATAAAACTTGGTCTTTAGTTGAATTACCTCCAGGCAAGAAGCTAGTAGGTTGCAGATGGGTGTATAAGGTTAAACTGAAACCAGATGGTTCCATTGAAAGATATAAGGCTAGATTGGTAGCCCAAGGATTCACCCAAACAGAAGGAATTGATTTCTTTGAAACTTATTCACCTGTTGCTAAGCTTACTACCATGAGACTGCTTCTTTCTTTAGCTTCCATAAACAATTGGCATCTTGAACAATTGGATATTGACAATGCTTTTTTACATGGCAACCTAGAAGAAGAAGTTTATATGAAACCTCCACCTGGACTATCTCTTTCTAATCCCAAATTAGTTTGTAAGCTTCACAAATCACTCTATGGCCTCAAACAGGCTAGTAGACAATGGAACCACAAACTGATTTCTGCACTTCAAAGACTGGGTTATACACAAAGCTTAGCAGATTATTCTCTATTTGTCAAAAGAATTGGAAACTCCATCACCATCTTGTTAGTCTATGTTGATGATGTAATTCTCACAGGCAATGATATTGCAGAAATCACACGTGTAAAAGCATCTCTCAATCAACAATTCCACATCAAAGATTTAGGAAATCTGAAGTACTTTCTAGGCATTGAAGTTGCCAGATCCAAGAAGGGTATCATGTTAAATCAAAGGAAATATTGTCTTGAGTTGATAGATGAATATGGACTTTCAGGTTGTAAACCAGCTTCTACCCCTATTGATCCTGCTCAAAAATTATCACTTGATGAAGGAGATCCTCTATCTGATTCAACTTCATACAGAAGATTAATTGGTCGCCTGATTTACCTCACCAATACCAGACCTGATATTATGTTTGCTGTACAGCAATTGAGTCAGTATGTTTCTTCTCCCAAACAACCACATCTACATGCAGCACTTAGAATCCTCAAATATCTCAAAAATTCACCATCTCTTGGATTATTCCTCTCATCATCTAGCATGATTCAAATAAAGGCTTTTTCAGATTCAGATTGGGCATCCTGTCCAGATACCAGGAAATCTGTTACAGGGTTTTGTATATTTCTAGGAGATTCTTTGATCTCTTGGAAATCCAAGAAGCAGAATACCATATCCAGATCTTCATCTGAAGCAGAGTACAGAGCATTAGCCACATTAACCTGTGAATTACAATGGATACAGTTTCTACTAAAAGACTTATATGCCTCAACTGCAATACCATTTCATGTCTATAGTGACAGCCAATCTGCAATCCAAATTGCTAAAAATCCCACATTTCATGAAAGAACAAAGCATATTGAAGTGGACTGTCACTTTGTTAGAATCAAACTTCAACAAGGATTAATCAAGCTGTTCTTTGTTCCTTCATCATGTCAACTAGCAGACTGTTTTACAAAGGCATTACTTCCAGTTTTACTACACAACAATATCTCCAAGCTGAATCTTCATGCCATATCAGATCCACCTTGAGGGAGGCTATTAGCATATACTTCATCATTTCTTTGTAATGCTTAGCTGGATAGTTAACTGTTAGTTAGTTTGTATTCAGTTAGTTTGTTAGCCAGATATTTTTAGCTTGTAAACTTTCTATAAATACCACCTTAAGGTGAAATAATAGATACTTTCTTTTTCCCAAATTCTGTCAAGGCTAATATACAATTCAATATCCTTTTTACCCTTTCATCTTAAACTTGGAACTAATTTGTTTCTCGCCAAATGAGTTTTTGATCCATCCGAAACAACATCGGGCCTACCCAAATAGTGAATAGTGTAACAAAATGAAGATAAAAATGAACTAAAATAGGAGTATAACATGAGTAAAGTAGAAATACGAGTTCATGTTTTATCTGCCTAAGTTAAATTACACTAATATATTGTGTGTGGACAAAAATGTCATACTCTTTAGAGTTAAAGTCTAGAGTTAGGGCTTAGGGTGGTGAGTGGTGACTATTGGTGGCTGCAGTCTGATGCTTGTGTTCGGCGATCTGGTGGCGGTGGATGTCAGATTACAGTGGTTAATAGTTTCAAACCCAACAATCGTATTAATATTCAATCACAAACTATTACTCTTATTTGAAGAATTTTAAACATTAACTTCTTTTTTGCATTTTAGATACATTTGGCTCCCATTGTAATAATTCTCAATGAAAAACTAGTAGTTGAAGTCTTGAAGAGTAAGAAACATAGGTGAAAAAAATGAAGGATGTTATATGCTTTCGCACCATTCTATGTTTTAATGCTAAGGATAGTGGACAATTGACATCATTTACACGATCTACTTGACCTCATTTTATTGATTGATTTATTCCAAATCTATTTGTTGAAATACATTGTTATTGTTTTCCAAGCGTAAAATTTCAAAATCTTATTATCTAATTCTATTTAATAATATCCAATTTAACATAATGGCCGCTCTTTTATGATAAAAAAAAATCCAATTTAACATATAAATGATTGTAGTTTTGTATTGAGAAACTTTAAAATTAATATGGCAAGAAAATAAGAGAAGTATATTTCATAATCCGTATTTGTAGTCGGTTGTCATAAAAATTAAAAAGTGAAGTACGGAGTATCAAAGATTTCCATAAAAGTAAAACAGGCAAAGAACAATTGTTAGTGGGAAACATTAAAAACTGAAATTATGACGAGTAAAGGTGCGCATGAAAACCCTTGGGACGTCTGTTAATCAATTTTCTGTTTTGGAATAAAAATCATTGTTTAGTCAACAACAACCAGTGTCTCTGCCGCATCTGCTAACTCTGGTTCCAACATCTTTGTTGTTTTTCAACCAAGAAGCTGACAAAACAAAGAAATGATAAATTTTCATTGAATCATGAATGTTTCTACCAAAAAAAAAACATTTTTTTATGAATGTTTCTAGCAAGGCTATGCTGTTTGTGTAAAAACATTTCCCTGAAAAAATGGTTTCCCATTTTCCTCCTCAAACGAATTTTCTTTCCAGGAAAATATATTTCTCTGTTTCATAATGAAAAAATATTTCCAACAGGATCTATTTCATGTTTTGTGGAAAATGGATTATTGTAATAAGGAAAACTAGTATATTATTGCAAAAATATACTTTTGCAATTCTGTTTTTCTTTTTTGCAGGTAAGCCGGTAAGGTGATCTAGTTTGATTAAGTGATTAAGTCTTATCTAGTAATTACTCTGGTCTCTATATATATATTGCAACAATGAAGGTCTTATCTATTCTATTTAAGTCTGATATAGTCTGTATAGGGAGTTAAGGAAGTTTTTTTGGACATAAAGTTGTTAGTCTGGTCTGAACTAGTCTAGTAAGTATTTGATCTGTGTATTTTATAACTATGAAAGTCTGATCTGACTTGATCCGGTCTGTGACTGAAAACATCCCCAAACTGATCAGGGACTGAAAACATTCCAAGTAAAAACATCCTAAAACATTATAGGAGTATTACATAGAACTAGTGCTGGACTCGGGCCGGGCGGCCCGACCCGGAACCGGATCGGCCCGCCCACTGTAGCAACCGGCCCGGCCCGGTGGCCCAGTCCACCGGCGGTTCGGGTCGAACCGGCCCGGTGAATACCGGTTCCGGGCCCGGGCCCTCCATTTGGTGAACCGGCCCGGCCGGTTCGGGCCCGGTCCGGGCCGGAATAATTTTTTTTTTTTTTTTTGAATTTTTTTTAACTTTTGGGTTGGATTAGGTATTTTGGACAATTTGAGGTGGTTTGGGGTGGTTTGGGGTTGAGGGGGAGGGGTAGGGGGTTAAATAAGAGAAGCCAAAAAATCAAAAAAAAAAAAATAGGGCGGGTGAACCGGCCCGGAACCGGCCCGGAACCGGTCACCGCCGGTTCGGGTCCGGGCCCTCCTTTTGGTGAACCGAGGCCCGGCCGGTTCAAGGCCCGAACCGGGCCTGGCCCGAACCGAGTCCAGCCCTACATAGAACTATAGAAGTATAGAACTTATATCAAAGGAAAATAATTTGAGCAGGGAACACATTCCCCAAACAATTACTCCGTATTTTTTGGGGAAATGGACGGAGCACCCTTGAAACATGTAAAAACAAGCTTGTAGGTTGTGAAGATTTACAGATGATTTCAAAAACAATTGAAGGTATAAGAAAATACACAAGTGAAACAGCAGTAAAAGAATTGAAAAAAAACAAGAGAAAAAATAAGTGATGCGAGTAGGGGTAGGGGTGCAAGAAGTAACATCAGGTACTATGTCCAAGGGTCGTCCCAGCCGCTAGGGCCATCTCTCTTGACGAAATTCATGATAGCTTCGACAGCTTCTCCTACTCTGTTTGATAAAGAATGGTTTCCGTACTCAATCTCAGCCTTTTCAGCCCCACCCATTGCTCTACATAACCTGTGCACAAAAGAAGAGACAAAGAACATACTTTTAACTAATCAAGTACACTTACGGTATATTTTGAACTCTGGGAAATGCTATGAAAAAATATGAGGAAAATAGAAAAGATAATATGAGGGAAACAAATAAAAAATATTGCTTCCACCTCAATATATATTTTTTATGTTTATTCAAACACATTTCATTTCATGTGGAGGATTGATCTTATTTTATCATTTTAGCTTTTTTCTTTTATCTTTCTTATCTTTTTTACCTTGTATTTTTATCTGTATCTTATATGTTTACATTTTTTCTCTTTTCTCTTATCTTATCTTTTTATCTGTTTTAGCTCTGTCAATTAATGTTAGCTGACTTCGAACTCTTTTGGGACTAAGGCTTGGATGTTGTTGTATTCAAACACATTTCATTTAGTTATTAACATGTAGTATTTGTGTACAGGCTAAGAAATATGACTATACTTCATATTTGACAATGTAAAACCAAACAGGAAAACCCCATTTTTCTTTCCCCACCATTTTCAGAGTTTCAAATAGTGGTGGACTCGGGCCGGGTGGCCCGACCCAGGACCGGCACTGTTCCGGCCCGGCCCGACACGGTGGCCTGGCCAGTGACCGGTCCGGGTAGGCCCGACCCGAGGGGTTTCCGGTCCGGGCTCGGGTCACCCAAAACATGAACCGGCCCGGCCGGTCCGAGCCCGGTTCCGGGCTCTTTTTTTTCAACTTTTTTTTAAATCCTCGGGTTGGGCTGAGTATTTTGGGCCATTTGGGGTGGTTTGGGGGTTGGGGGTTGGGGGGGGGTCGGGGGGTAATTAGAAAAAGGAAAAAAATGTAAGAGGCCCGGCCCGGACTCGGACCGGACCCGGTGGCTACCCGGGCCGGTCCCAGCCCCAACATTTCCTAACCGGCGGCCCGGCCCGGCCCGGGCCCGAACTGGCCCAAGTCCACCACTAGTTTCAAATATACAGTCTTAGGGTGTGTTTTGAACCTGGAATTATGGCAGGAAGGAAAACCAGCATGCTGAGAATTATTTCTTGTGTGTTACCTCATAAAATGCAAATGAAAATGGAATAGAATGAATCTATTCACATATTTTACATTAGTTAGCCTGATGTAAACTAAAATGAGGTTTAAGTATAAAATGTAAACAAAATAAGTTTGAACCAATGTTTCATTTTCCCACAAAACATACCCTATATTACCGAGTTTCAACAGGACTCTTATGAACCACAAATTATCATTGGGAGGGGGGGTTGAAAGATTAACTTCCTTGCCTATCAACTAATGCTTTCTTGTCTACATAATCCGGAACGTACTCATCTCCCATGGAAAAGATCACCTGAAGAAAATGCTACTCAATCAGTACCCGGTTTACAATTTTGTACTGCATTAATCAAAACAATACAGTCCAGAATCAGCAATATTTTGATTTCATAATTAACGGGTAGCACAGATAATACCTGACAAGGTGTGCTAACCATGTGCCCAAGTCTTTGTTTCAGCTGATCATCACTGAGGTCCGAACTGAACAAGTCGTCATCACCATTGTAGGCACTCAGAGAGTGATATCTGCAAATTAGTTTGTTATGTAGAAGGCATTGATGACAGACGAGAAACAGAGGGGTTTAAATTATTTATATGTCTCTTTCAAACAAACTTTCCCTAGCTAAGATTTCCTGCCTGACAGTTACCAAGTGCAAAACTAAAGTTTTTGTTGGCCTTTAAGGTTTTCAAATCTGCTCCCAAGAAAAATAACTGCCAGTAGCTTGGGTAAAGAACAGTGGAAAGTTTAAACTAATAAATGGGTTATTGTTATTAATCCTAACTAGTTTGCCTTCAGTCGCTCAACCCCAAAACAACAGTATCCAAGTTTGTAGTTTGTCTGAACAAAAGTTGTTTGCTCATTTTCCAATCTTGCCATACTCGTGACTCATCTCAATGTAAGTGCGTCTGCACACATCTACACCTCTGAGTTTAAGTTTTCATAATTGATTTACAACTTCTTCCTTCGTCCCAAAAAAAGTCACGTTTCAAGAACTCTTTTTCTTCCAAAAAATAGTCCGGTCTCAAAGACACCTTGATTTGAAATAAAAAACCTATAAAGCCAAGTGCCCAAGAACCAAGCCGTAATAGTCAATTACACCAAACAATCTTGGGAATAAGTTATAGTGGTATATAAGTGAGCATTCATACATTGTAAAAGCTTCTGCATTGATGAGTACGTTGACTAAAAAAAGGTGTCCCTAAAGGGGACTCTTTAATGGAATCTCTTCATTGTTTTCTGTGTCCGAGGTTAAGATCAACCTCCTTGCAATTGCAAGGGAATGCCCATTCAAGCGTCTTATTGAGCTTCATAGTTATCACTATGTCAATTATCAAACATAAAAGGATAATTCAAGATACTTGAGCTTCATAGTTATCACTATGTAACAAATGAAGACTGCCAGTGTGTAAAGCTGCAGCTAATAGTAGAGAGAAATGAAATTGAAGGAATGAATCTAACCTATATGCAGTTATAGGTGCATCTGGGTTTGCTTCCCGTGGCATTAGTTCTGAACCCCGACCTTCACTTATCATCTTTGAGGCCAAATCAATCATCGAAGCAGTATCAGGTAGAGTCGCTCTGTATTCCCGGTCACTAACAGGAGCCTGTACAGAAAATAGGGCATCATGACTCGCGTCAAAAGGATCCTCAAGATATAAAGGTTACCTCATATATAAATTGGACTCATACAAAGTAGACAACAGATGTGAGATCCTGTGAATCCCCCTCCCCCCACACCCCCCCACCCAACCCAAGTCAGTTTGATAACTAAAGGGAAGACAAATTGGCCAAAATCATCTCAAAAGAGGTTGGCCATCAAACCAATGCTGCACCTGAATTTAGTAGTAGAATAATAGCATATTAATTCAGGTCTAACTTGCCTCAATATTATCCTTAAGAAATAAGGTTTACCTCAAACTTATCTATGTTAAAAGCATTTGTCCCACACCGGAAAGCTATAAATACAATTAAACACTATATAAGGCTTTGGGTTACTGCTCCTATCAGGTTGACCTTTTAGGATGGAACCCCGGGTCTTAACAATCCACTAGACTCAAACTCAATAGAAAACCGATGCGGGACACTCAGCAGTAAGCCGGTAAAAAGGCTAAATAATAGTAGAAGAACGGGTGGAGCATAAAATCATGATGTTCAAGTAAGTAGATTACCTGCAAAATGGCAGCACGAACAGCTCTAGAACATGCAGCATTGGTGCGCAAGTAATACACGATGTCCTACATTTCAAAACCAGACAGGATAGTCATCACTTCAGGCACTAATCACAGATTCACATTAAATGTTGTGCCCTTTATTTGGAGAGAATGTATGTAACTCATATTCAAATTGTAATAAAAATGAATAGTTGATTACCTGACATCCAGTACTGTGTCCAAGAAGTATCACACCCTCAGAATCTTCCTTGTTTATTAAGTAACTTATCAGCTGATCAAGCTCTACGGCATCCTTCAAACATAAGGAGCAAAAAAAACAGACTATATAAAAGACCACCCAATGTTCACTAGAAGATATACATAAAAAAGTTACTCAAAATATTCACTAGAAGAATGAATTTTAAAGGACACAGGGCCATGTCCCATGGGAAAGCATCTAGTATTGGTCAACGTCAACATTCCGATGATTTGGGAAACAAATAATTACTTGTTTCAAGCTTGAGGTCCCATATCCACTATAAGAAGATGAAAGAAGAAATTGAACTAGTGACCATTTCTCTTTATCCAAAGCAATCGCCAAAGGCTCCAAATACCTGCAAAAATATCTGCCAACTTCAGAAACTACAAACATGTACATGCAGTAAGAAAGATCCTAGTTCACACATAATAGAAAGAGTTGACAGGTTGAAATATTTCCAATGGATGGTTTAAAAGTTCAAGATTATGTCTTTGTTATAACCCAGGAGCAGAGAGGGTCTCTCTTTATTTGTGAAGTTCTCATACTCCTTAGGTCTTTCTTAAATTAACAAAAAATTGTCAAAAATCAAATAATTTCCCACACACCAATTCCATGCTAGATATACCCAAAACTCCAAAAGTAAAAATATAGGCACGAATTTAGGGAACGAATATACACATTTTATCCTTCTGATCTTATTTAAACTTATACATGAAGTCAGAATGTTAATTATGAACTTATATTTGCTTTTCATGAGACCTCTTAAGATTCTCATATAAGCACGACTGAGGTCTGAGGGCTACCCAATGCAGATTGATATAAGCCCTAGGGTAATACAAATGTTTAAGAAACCAATAATAGGATTTAAGATAAACAGTTTTCCATGAAGAAAATCACATTCCAAGCGGAGTAATGCGGTTTAAACAGTACCAACATCAATCATGAACCATGTAAATATCTACAAATCTCAAACAAACAAACTTCTTGCTTATACATACTCTGTAGCCAAAAATCCATCTGTTAGTCCGCCTATAAAAATAACTTGTTGCTTATAGTCACCAGTCTTGAAAGCTACCTGCAAAATGGTGTGACATACAATTTTGAAGTTTTTTTAATGTAGTGATAAAGCAGCACTTTCTAACAAAAAACATGCATTCAGGAAATACGTCCAATGATTTGAGGATTTTCATAGTGTGAACCCATATGCACAAGTACATACTCACTCCTTCCCATAAAAGTCTTCTCGTTCGCTTTGGAAGAAGCAATTTTATCCATGAGAATAGCTAGCTATTTGAAACGATCCACCAAGTAAAATGGCAAAAAAAAAAAAAATTGGGGCTGAGGAGTAAAAAAATTGACCTCCATAGAAGTGCATACTGTTTTACAACTGCCAACATTAATGTCAAGTTCTTCTGACACCTATGCACTTAACTAACAGAGTTTTAGGGAGCAAAAACTATTAAAAATTCAGTCTTTCAGCAAACCTGGATAGAATTGGGGCCGTACTTAAACATCACTCCACGGAACTGCTTTTTCTTAGTGATAGGCGAGTCGTTAACGGAGTCGGTGGCGGCGGAAGCGGTCGAATTATTTGGCACGCTCTTTGAGCGGCCCCGGACAATACCGGAAAGCCAAGAAGTAGTGGCCCTGGTGGACGATGCCGTGGGAGAAGTGGCCATCGACGGATCCATTCACTAAATCCGCGTCTCCGACTTGATTCCGTTTTCCATTTGCAGATGAAGATGGGATTGTGTGGCTTTGTTTGCAATCACTTCTACTTAAATAAAAGCACTTTTGGGAAAAAATGATTAATAGTAAAAGTTAGTAGTGTTTGGTAAAATAAGTGTTTTTTGTGTAATAGAAAAATTAAAAAATAGATTCTACACAGAAGCTGAGAAAGTAGAAGTTGGTAGTGTTTGATAAAATAAGTGTTTTTTTCTTAAACAAAAGTTAAAAGCACTTTTTTTAATGGGTTGCAAACATACGATGCCCTCTGGATTAGGATGCGGTTAATATTCTGTAGCTTGATTATTGAAGTTCGCGAATATGAATCATTGGTTCCAAATTCCAATAAGAGAATTTGAGTTTCCAATTTGAAGAAATTTTGATTTTGCACCCAGTACATATCACAAGAAAATTTTCTAATTAAATGAGATGCAAAGTCAAAGGATTTTTAATTGTAATGGAGTGTAATGTCAAAGTTTTTTCAAAATGGGATGCAAAGTCCAATATTATCCAAAAAGTGGGGTACAAAGTCAAATCCCCCTTTCAATAATTACAGTGGATGTCGTTGATGTATCATTAAGGATGACAATGGGGCGGATCGGGAACGATTTTACATATAACCGTACCCGCCCCGTTGGGTAATTCCCCCGCCCCGTAACCGCTTCATTACCCAACGGGTAATTTTTACCCAAACCATAATCGCCCCAACGGGTATAACCATGGGTAACCGCGGGTAACTGCTTTATTCATATTTAAAAATAAAAATAATATTTTAAAAGGCGAAAAATGACATCATCTAGACGACTCTAGACTTATACACCACTTTAAAGTTTCGTATACCTACAAGACGAGAGAGAAGACAACTTAAATTAATTTGAACCTAAAAATACTTAATTTGAAAAATAATTAATCACGAAAACATCTGATAATAATCAAACAAGACTATTAAGGTCTATAATGAACTTTCATTCATACACATACACTATAGTTAGTACATCTACATCCATATATATACAATGAAAATAGAAAAATATCATCTTTTAATAGTTATAGGACTAATAATAGATAAAAATATAATAAAAATATAGCCAAAAATAAATGGGGCGGGTACGGGGCGGGTAATGGGGAGAGCGTGTATAAAACCGTAACCGCCCTGTTACCCGTAAAAACAAAACAAGTATTCCCCGCCTCATACCCGTTACCCGGTCAATGCGGTTTTCCCCGTTTTGACCGGGGCGGTTCGGTGCGAATGTTCATCGGATCGGTCACAATTGTCATCCCTATGTATCATGTAACAGTACAATGTAGTAAGGGTGCAATTTTAATACAGACTATAGACTATGAGCCCGTTTGGAGACCTCTTTTTTTGGCTTATCAGCCATTTTTTCCCCAAACACGTAACTTTTGATTTCGCGCGTTGAGTTGTGTAATAATAAGAAAAAGTAAGGTTGAAGTTATTTTTCTGGCTCTATTGGCTGAAGTTACTATAGAAGATCATTTTAACTATTTTTCATATGATTTTTTATTTTATTTATTATTAGCAAATTTTTTTTCCATAAATCAGCTAATACAGCCACTTCAGCCAGAACTTCATAAATTTCAGCAGACTCAGCCAATTCAACCAATACCAAATGGGCTCTATATAGAGCATCAAGCGCATTATGGTTAGCTAGCTTTTTCAATTGCATTTTTTCCCTCAACAGCCAAATATAGAAACGCCAACAATTATAGCGTTTATAATCGGGTGTTCCACAAGTTTCCTGTATACTCATGTCTTTTACCGTATCTGCCTTCTATGAGAGAGAGAAAAATGCGCTCAAGAAGCCTTCTCCGACGTTTTCGGCTCCTTCCTATCGAGCACTCTGGTTCACTGGTATTTGGTTTGTGGTGGATCAGTCAAATTATGGGTGTTTTGACCATGATTTGACATTTTTATTAGATTAATCAGCTAATAATGTGTTTGGTTAACTGCTTTTTCATTTGACTTTTTATTCCAAACAACTAAAATTGAAAAAACTAAGAAACATAGCTTTTAGATTTGGCCTTTTGCAATATTCCTAATCTACCCATTTATTTTTCTTCACTGAAATACTCCATAGTCTTTTGCCTTCCTTACCTCCATTACCTTTTTGGGAAAAAGGTCAGATAGGCTCTCGAACTTACATAAAAAGGTCAAAAAAGCCCTTATATAGGAGGTTCTGTCCGGCCGTCGCCATTTGGGGCGCCACTTCGATGCCAAGAAAATATTTGAATACACCAAGATCCTTCATATGGAAACAGGAATTCAAATAAGATTTAAAATTAATTAATGCATGCGAATCATTTCCTGAAATAATCAAATCGTCCACATAAACCAGCACATTTAACTGAATAACTCCTTTGCGGAAGGTAAAAAGACTGTAATCAGAATAAGATTGATGAAACCCATAATTTTTCAAAGATGCCGCTAACTTAGCAAACCAGCACTGAGGAGCCTGGAGTAAGCCATATAAAAATTTCTGCAACCGACACACTAATCCAGGTCGAGAGGAAGAAAATCTTGGTGGAAGTTTCATATAAACTTCTTCATCAAGATCGCCGTGCAGGAAAGCGTTTTGAACATCCATCTGATGTAATTCCCAATTACGGGCAACGACAACAGCTAGAAAAGTACGAACAGTAACCATTTTTGCCACTGGGGCAAAAGTCTCAGTATAATCAATACCTTCCTCCAGGTGATTACCAAACACGACCAGGCGAGCTTTATACCTCTCGATCGAGCCGTAAGAATCATTTTGATCTTGTAGACCCACTTACATCCTAGCGCCTTCTTGCCCTCTGGCAAAGACGCCATAACCCATGTGTTATTATTTTTGAGAGCTTCAATCTCACGTTGCATGGCATCACGCCATCTATCATCAGTCATAGCCTCCCGGAAAGAGCGAGGTTCACGACCTGCAAGTAACGCTCCAAGGAACGCACGATATCGTGCAGAAAATTTATCACATTTTATATAGTGAGTAATAGGGTATGGCGTACCTAAGGAACCGGACGGGACGGGTGATGACGGAGATGGACTTAGGTTCCGAACATGATTTGTAACAAAAACCCGAAGAAGCACAGAAGTACGTTTAGGACGCATGCCACAACCCAAAACAGGAGGTTCGGCCGAGGTGTTGTCCACTGAACTATGTACTACTTCATGCTCGGGCATGATAGGTGTAGTAGTACCTGGAGTCTCATGCATTTCTTCATTATGTGCAGCCGAATGTGGTCTTTCCAGTAGATCATCATCCAACATAATGGGAACAGTAGTAGGCATAGGTACATCGGCCACCCCATCTATAAAGTTTGAGGAATTAGAAGACACCAAAAATGGAAATTCATCTTCATGGAACTGAACATCACGAGAAACAAAAATGTCACTTGAAACACAATCATATAGTTTCCATCCCTTCTTGCCATTCGGATACCCAATAAACACACAACGTCTACTCCTCGGAGTGAATTTATCTCCTTTGGATTTGAGGTTGTGAGCAAAGCACAAACACCCGAAAATTCTCAAATGTAGAAAATCCGGTGCAACTCCTGTGAGAACTTCATACGAGGTTTTACCCCCAATAACCCGGAAGGTGTTCGATTAATAAGATAGACAGCTGTCAAAACACACTCGCCCCATAGTGCAATTGGAACCGCTCCTTGAAACATCAAGGCACGAGCCACATTTAAAATATGTCGATGCTTACGTTCCACTTTCCCATTTTGCTGCGGTGTGTGAACGCAAGTAGTCTGAAAAAGAATTCCTCGCTCCTAAAAATAGGGCAATAGACATCTAAACTCCGTTCCATTATCACTACGAACAATTTTCACAGGAACTTCAAATTGTTTTTCAATCATAGCAATAAAAGATAGAAAATATTTATGCACTCCCTTCTTGTCCCACAATAAATAAACCCACACTGCCCGGGAAAAATCATCAACAAGTGTAATAAAATAAACAGCATCACACGTAGACGGGGTTTTGTAAGGTCCCCACAAATCACAATGAATCAACTCCAAAATTCGGCTCGCTTTATTAGTACTACTAGGAAAAGAATCGCGGACTTGTTTGGCTTGTGGACATACCTCACAAGCTTTATTTAATTTCTTTTTGAAAGAACTAGTGCTAAAAACAGGTAGTAATTTAACAACACGGTCTGACGGATGACCAAACCTACGATGCCATAATTCAAACTCATTCACTTCGGCCTTCTGGACAGCATGGACTTCTGGAACACCTCGGAAGTAATAAAGTCCATCTCGTCGTTCACCTGCTCCAATCAGGTTCCTTAAGCGTAGGTCCTGTATAACACAAGAAGAATTGGTGAAAGTGACAATACACTTAGACTGATCAACCAATTGAGAGACCGAAATAAGGTGACAATTTAATCCAGGCACAAAAAGAACATGATGAAGCACTATATGCTTAGTGAGGTACACACTGCCCTCCAAAATAGCCACTGCACGCCGCCCATCCGACAACCTAACCGGACACTCATGTATACGAGTGATACTTGTGAGACAAGAGGAATCCCCGGTGACATGATGTGATGCCCACGTATCGATAATCCAATAAAAAAATTTACACATACCAGTCATTCGATCGGTGGAGCGTGTTTCTCCATTAATTAAATTCAAGAGTGCTCGCATTTGGTCCGCACTTAATTCATGCAAACCTTTTGGCTCAAATTTAGAAGTACTGCTGCTACCCAGGTCCTGCGTTGCTAAAGGAGCAGTCACTACATGTATTCGTACACTGCCTCCACGCCCAGCCGCAGAATACTTGCCACGATTCCGTTCCTCCCACCATTCCGGGTATCTGTGAAACTTAAAAAAAACATCAATTTCATGTCCCTTCTGTTTACAATGCGAGCACGTCACCTTTGCCCGTTCGTTTCGTTCTGCCCGTCCCTTGTTGCGGTCTGCCTGTAGGGCGAAAGCATGAGCGTCAACAGTGATATTCTTACTGCGAGCAATAGCTCGTGAATTCTCCTCCAG